ACGGTGGCTCCTGGCCGGTGTCCGGGGAGTGCGTGTGCTCACCTCTGAGTCTCACCCCCTTTCGCATCCCGAAGCCCATCTTTCTCTCAGGTTTATGTCTCCAGGCCAGACCCAGAACATCTGAGGGAACAGAAGCACAGGCTGGAGCAAAAGTAGTTTTACAGTTGTGCGTACTCAAAACAGAGTTCATTCTTATATTGCCGTGTATTAATTATTGTATTAGTTTCCATACAAAGAACTTGGGTTTCACTAAAAGTTTTAGAACAGCGTGAATTTAGTGTCTAAGAATGTGGTCCTCTAGCAGTTAAGTCAGTTAAAGGTTTTTAATACATATTCTTACTGATTTCAGAGAGGAAAGGAGAGGGAGAGAGAGAGAAACATCAATGATGAAAAAGAATCATTGATCAACTGCCTCCTGCAGATCCCCCACTGGGGATCGAGCCCGCAACCCGGGCATGTGACCTGACCAGAATTGAACCGTGACCTCGTGGTTCATAGGTCGACGCTCAACCACTAAGCCACACTGGCTGAGCTAAAATGTCCTAGGTTTAAAGAAACATCTTTTTCCACTTCATGCTTTTAAGAACATTTAACTTCATTAAAATCTAATTACCATTCTAAGTAGGAGTGTCACATTTCAGTTGCATGCTTACATCTGTTGTTTCACACACTCAGTCACTCGTGGAGAGCGGAGTCGGATATGACCCCTTCTGCCCACAGTGAGGCCCAGCTCCCCAAGCCCACGCCGACGGGCAATCCAGCACGTCCAGCCTGCGCTGGGCCTGAGGTTCTCCTCATCTCTCCCTGCACCCCACTCTCCAGGGCCTGGGTTAGAGCCCAGCTTCTGGGACATTTCAAATTCTGAACATTTTGAATACTTTTCCCTTAATATTTCAGTGGACTTTCCTGTCCCCTACAATTTTAATACTTCTCCGTTTCTCCTTGTTTTTAAGGGCTCTTTTTTATATTCCGTCTCTCCCAGAAATGAAACCTTCATTTAACCATTAACTGCCACGCGTCCAAATGGAAACCATCCCCCACGCCATGATAGTTGAATGTGCGTGTATAGAGCTTGTGGCGGACAAAGGATCGATTGGGGCAGGTGCTCAGAGCCTGCGGGGCCTGGGGCACCTCCTCACCTCCCTGGGAGCGCCCCCTGGTGGAAAGTGTGGGCTGTGGTCAAGGATAAACACAATAATGACGTCACGGGCGCTCAGTGGACAGTAGTTTTCCTCGTCGTTAATGTCCTTTTCGTTATTGCCTACAGTTTGGGGCTAACAAAATAGGATGTATCGCCTTTTCCTAGACTATGGTTCCACTGGCCATTTTAAAGGAACCTTCTTCCCCACTTGGAATCTGAGGGCAGGTGCCTTTTCGGAACGGCTGCCCCCACTGGAACTCCCCGCAGCCTCTGGGTCCCCCCGTAGCGTCCTGTGAGCTGTGGTTACTAACCCACCTCTGCATCCGCTGGGAGCTGATTCACGTGAACAGAACAGCCGTCTGCACGGCCCTTTTAGCTCGAGTCACCGTTCCCCAGCGCTCAGCCTCCTGAACAGATTCACGTTTCACAGGCCTCTGCCTTTCCTGCTCTCGGCGCCCCAATCTTACCTTTGCTGTCACTCTCCAGTGCTGCGGTTCTCAACCTGTGGCTCGCGACCCCTTTGGTGGTTGAACAACCCTTTCACAGGGGTCGCCTAAGACCATCCTACATATCAGATATTTACATTATGATTCATAACAGTAGCAACATTACAGTTATGAAGTAGCAACGAAAATAATTTTATGGTTGGGTCACAACATGAGGGACTGTATTTAAAGGGCCAGAAGGTTGAGAACCACTGCTCCAGTGTCTCCCCCTGGCAACAGGAGCAGCGGTCAGAAACACTAAGGGCCGTTGAAGACGTCCCCCCTCACTTGGAGCATATTGGGGAGCAACTGCTCCCTGCCAGACATTTGCATAGGGGCCAGGGCGACTGGGGTGACGAGAAATGATTTCTCACTTCACAACCTCACCTGGGGAAGGAGAGGAAAACCACAGACTATCCCAGGGCAGTGAGATGCTACACGCACACACGCGCGCGCTGAGTCAGATCTCTGTGATTAGAGAGCCTTCTAGATGTAGCGACCCCCCCCCCCCCCCCTCCCCCAGGCTCTGTTCCTGTGCGGCCTCTTAGGGAATAGCTCCCAGGAATCCTGCCGAGATGTGCAGCACAGAGACCCTCCCTCTGGCAGGAGCATCTTCAGAACCAAGAATGTGGCAATGACTAGTGCTTTTTCAAAGACCCACCCATCGCACCCCCCACCTCCGCGCCTGCCCCCCAGGACAGAGCACACCCCGTCAGTGTTTCCACAGAAATACACACACCGACCTCTACTAATAGTTGTTTGAAACGTCTCAGAGGTTGTGGGTGCACGCAGCTCAGGCTGCCAGCTGTCGGCGCCACCCCCCGCCTCCAGATGTTGTCCCTTCCAGCCAGTGGCTGCTTCAGCCAGGTCCCCAGGAGCCACGCCTGTGTCAGCTCGCGCCCAGATTCGATGCTCTTCTTCCCTGGAAACCACGTAACACTAACATCAGCCTCCCACAACATCTGAGACGTTTCAAACAACTATTAGTAGAGGTCAGTGTGTGTATTTCTGTGGAAACACTGATGGGGTGTGCTCTGTCCTGAGGGGCAGGCGGGGGGCGGGGGTGCGATGGGTGGGTCTTTGAAAAAGCACTAGTCATTGCCACATCAGCCTCCCATTCAGACCGGCCCCAGGCAGCTCCCGGGCTCCCCCCACTCCCTGGAGCCAAGGCCGGGGGGCGTTCAGAGCAGAACCGTGTGGGACTGGGCGAGCCACCCCCACGCCCTCACCCCATCCCAGTTCATCCTCGACCCATGAAGGGAGGGTGTTGTGTGTGGTGGGAGAGCAGCCTGATTTCTGCTAAGTTAGGTTTCCCTGTTAGAATCCATACCTGGGGACTGAGGAGTATTTGGAGTCTGAGAATAAGGGTCCCCCCTGAAGAAGGCAAGGATCGCCTGGAATCCGGGCGCTGTGGCCTTTCCCTTCGCGGCAGCCTCGCCCTGGACCCTGCCGGGCGCTGGCCCTGCTCACTGGTGGCACCGGGCGTTTAGTGGTCCAGGTCTGCGCGTCAGCTCTGTGACATCGGGCGATGCGCTTGATCGCCTAGGTGTCCTGTTGGTGGTAAGAAGGCTCATTCATTTATGTGACAGATATTTGTTAATGGCTCAGAGTAGGGTGGACAGAGAAAAGCAAATAAATAAGATAATTTTAGATAACAGTGGGAGTTGCTGATGGGACTCGCTCGTGGATGGGATGAGAGGGGGAGGGAAAGAACGGAGTCAAGAATGGTGCCTGGGCCCTGGCCACATGGCTCGGTTGGTTGGAGCATCATCCCATATACCATAAAGGTTGCAGGTTCGATCCCTGGTCGGGGTGTGTATCGGAGGCAACCGATATCTCTCTCTCTCTCTCTCTCTAAATCAATAAAAACATATCTTCAGGATTAAAGGAAAAAAAGAATGGTGGGATTCTGGATTGACAGAAAGGAGGTGGGAAGGGGAAAAAGGTGTGTGTTTGGGGAGAGATAAGGGAAGTTCTCTCTGGGGTCAAGGCTGAGTTGTTGGGTGGCTCAGTGCGAGGCTATTGCTGGAGACAGCGTGTAGCGCCATCGGGTAGAGCTGGTGTTGGAACTTGGGGTAGAGAGATTGCCCGTGAGAGCAGGTGTCCATGGAGGGGGAGAGGCAGCCTGGCACTGCGTGGGGCCCACGCTGTTAACTGTGCCCCCACGCCCTGCTGTCCTCTGCAGTGTGAGCTCTGGAAGAGGCTCAGCCTCCACACCCTGGGATGTGGAGTCGGCCTCACAGCATGAATAGAGGCTCCGTCCCGGGCCTCTGGTCCAGCCTCCACGCCTCACCATCTCCTGCGTTCCTGGGTAGAGAAGGAAGAGGTCTCCCAAGACGACAGCCTCAGAGTCTTAGGAAGATCTGGCTGATCCGTGTGTCTCCTCTTTGCCCTTCTTCCCGTGGACCTCGTCTCTGCACAGCCCTTGTAGTCACTGACGTGGGAAATGACATAGTTGGACTCGGGCTCCCTTCCCAGCTACACTCAGAGCCCGGCACTCCCATGGCACGCCGGTCAGAGCTGCTTTCCTTCGAGGGCCGGCAACTAAGAGGCCACCGGCTTGTCACCAGGACCGTGATGCTGAGATTTCTCTCCAGATCCTCTGCGAGGACTGGCCGCTTCTCGGGACTCAGTGGCTGAGCGTCAACCTATGAACCAGGAGGTCACGGGTTCAATTCCCAGTCGGGACAGCTGCCCGAATTGTGGGCCCAATCCCCAGTAGGGGGCGTGCAGGAGACAGCCGATCCATGGCTCTCTCTCATCATGGAAGTTTCTCTCTCTCCCCAACTCCCTTCCTCTCTGAAATCAATAAAAATATATTTTTTAAAATAATAATAATATCAATTCTTCTCCGACTATTGAAATAGTGGAGACATTTCTTAGGAAACAGTTGTCATTGGGATGGGAGACCAGGGATTGTCCCTCTGCCCTGTCCCGGGCCCTGGGGACCTCTGTATGGTCACCATGAGAACCTGTACCCACGAAGGCGGGACCCCACACCATCCTGCCCAGCCCTGACGTCAGAGGCGTTGGTACCGTCTTAAGGAAAGACAGTGCTGTGAACCAGAGTCCTTATATGTGCATTGGTTTTTGTTTTTTTACCAGAGGGTGAAATCTTACTTGTCTAATTGTAATGAGAATAAATGTATATCTTTGTTTCCTTTAAACAGACAAGTTCTGTGGAAAGAATAATCTAGTTCTTGAAATGTCTTCATGTTAAGCCTTGCTCTGAGTGGCTCGTGTGTAAATACGTAGTTGTGTTATTTTTGTTATATTGTCGCCATTAAGTGGGGAGGGAGGGAGGCTCCTTCATGTAAAAAGACACTTGATTAATTGATTCCCCCTTTTTTTTTCTTTTCTGCCTCTCTTTTCAGAACGGTTTGATCACCACTGTCCCTGGGTAGGCAACTGTGTGGGGAAAAGAAACTACAGATTTTTTTATATGTTTATTTTATCTCTGTCTTTTCTGACAGTCTTTATATTTGCATTCGTTATCACCCACGTCATTCTTCGTAAGTATGCTGGTGGAATCAGATTACGTATGTAACCGTTTGCCTGACTTCGGTTTTCTGATTTAAGTTTGATTTACTATTTTGATCATTCCGGGCTTTCTCTTCCTTCTCCCCCCCCCCGCCCCCCTTCTAAAAAACCCTCCCACCTCAGCCCCTCCTTCCACTCCCCATCCCCCATCCTTCCAGGGGCAGCTGCCTGGTCACACCTGGGGCAGGCTGCCCACTTTTTCCTTGATACTTGCCCCTATTCCCACCTCAGTGACTGCACTTCTCATCCGCTAGGGAGTCCCCTGGAAGAAACACCCCACATTTTCTCAAAGGATACTGTGCTGCACTAATCACCGGGCTTTTTAATTTTTTAATGTGATGTCTACTTCAGCAGAGCAGTCACCTCCCTAGGAAAAGGTGTCTGGGAATAAAGCCTGGGTTTTCTTGCACACAGAGCCATGGCAGTCAGACTCACATTAGTTCTTTTTAGATATTGGTCAATTTTGGACATTAAATGGAGGACCCCAAAATTTCAACAGCATTTTAAATCCTAGTTCCCATTTTTTCATACTGAAATCCCTCCATCTGAAGATGACACAGATTTGTAACACATTGGATAAGATGTTCAGTTATCTGCTAGAACATGAGGAAGCTACGGCGGGCATTGAAAGGAAGCAACCTGATTAAAAATGAGATTTGGATGTAAAGAACTTTGATATATGTATTTGTCTAAGCCAACGGCATTTTTCATTCCCCGTTCTGAAGGCCGTAACTGTTTCTTTTGTCCCTGGGACTTTTACTTTCCTACAATAGGCAGTGATGAGAAGGAAGATAAT